ATCTGTTGCTGCTGTGCGAGAGCCGACATTGAGGGCCCCTGGCCGTATGATGGCAAAGGTGGACGCAGACCAAGTCCTAACCGATTTGGAATGGGTTGCATTTTGATTGAAAATGTATCTTGAAGTAACAGAAACTTTGCAATTGATTCTTTGGAAGAATCAGTATGACTCTGTCAGAAAATAATATTAAGACGCACAATTGAGATAATCTAAACGTTTTGATAAACAGTCAGAACAGTAAAGCAAAGGAGAAGGCAGAGGCTCGAGGCAAACTTGCAGCTAGTGGATGTCACCGCGTAAGTAAGCGCTCGTTGTGGTTCGCGTGAAAGGGCAGCACCCGACATTTCCCACGCTCTTTCGTCTGTAAATCTAGTTTCCTACATCAGCTACATCGTCTTGCTTCAAGTCGCGAGCGCAATGGTCCTTTTCTTCACTTCCACTGGTAAGTCCTTCCATCATATCAAGTTGAGGCAATACTGATATCTGGTATAGTCGTTGATCCGCCAGTAATGCTTTACATGGGCAAGGATAAAGTCGAGAGTGAGCCCAGCAACATCCATCACACAACACACTGAAGTTCACCATACCAGATCAGACGAAGATTTGATCAAATATGCATGGCCTCAGGATGTGTGGTTCCACGTCGACAAGCTGTCCTCTGCACACGTCTATATTCGCATGCCACCGACCATGACCTGGGACAGTATTCCCCAGGCGCTTTTGACCGATTGTGCGCAGCTGGTGAAAGCTAATTCGATAGAAGGTTCGTGAGCATATTCAGGTCATCTATCGCCCGACGATCGATCTTGGATATGAAGGAAATAAGAAAGATAATCTCACCATTATTTATACTCCTGGGAGTAACCTCAAGGTAGGTCTACCACAATCGCACGTACTTGCCGCCCACCTGAGGATGTTCATACCAGAAATCCGGAGACATGGCCGTCGGTCAGGTGTCGTTTCATAGTGACAAACAAGTATGTGTGTCTATATCTCGATCATCGCTGCCGACTAAATGCTGTTGTTTTACAGGTCAAAAGAGGTTTTCAATTTCCCCATTCAATCGTTTCATTTCTCAATACCCCCTCAGTTCACATTCCAAAGCGAGAAAATGTAATTGTGAACCGTCTCAACAAGACCAAAGTCGAAAGGGATGTGGATCATGAGCAAGAGCGCGTAGACCGCATCAAGAAAGAGAATGCAGAGAAAAGAGTTATAGCTGCTCAAAACGTTCGCTTCACACTATCTCACTTTCAAATCAAATACTAATTAAGAACACAGAAAAAAGCTGAAGCAGAGCTAGCCAAGGCTAGAGAAGCGGAGAAGGCTTCCCGCTCCTACGATTTGTTATTCGAAGTCGAAGAAGATCCTGATGCACCGAAACTGACTGGGAAAGCTATCGAAGAGGACTTCATGTAATCGTATAAACCTGATCCAAGTGCCTCTCTTGAGTCCGTCGTAATATACCAGTATGGACTTATATATCAGGCAAATTGCCTCCTGTGATATCGGTAACCGGATAGTTTTGGGTCCTCCTTTCGAAGTTCTGGCGCCTGCCTAGACTCAACCAAAAAAAACTATGACCATACGTTTTGCCGCAGCCACGATCCATACAACAGGGGAGGACGTAGACGATCAATCGGTATCATCTCAAACGGACTCAGATTACGCCGAGGAAGACAACAACTTTGAAGATTGGGTATCAGATCAAGCGCAAAATCAGTCTTGCCGGTCACTCTTCGAGGACAAGACCTTTCCTTCAGCTGCTGCTACTCGTGCACACGATAAGGATGTCCATAACTTCGACTTACGCACCATAAGCGCGAAACTGGGTTAGTCTCGAAGTTATCGTGAATTTTCAATCAGTGACGATCAAGCCTAGAACTGGACCTTCATCAACGCATACGATTAATCAACTTCATCAGAAAACATGTGCGATTTCATTCGATCCCTCACGTGTCGTCGACTGACACACAGCTTCAGGCACCTACATCAGAGGATATCGGGAACCTAACAGGGGCGGAGACTTTTTTCTCTTCAGATGAGTACCTGATCCCACAGATTGAAGATGATCCGCTACTTCGTGCGTATCATTATGTCTCCCTTATCCTCTGTACAATGCTCAATCATCCAAAGAACTAGAAATGGATGACTGGTCAGACGATGAAGACCTCTCCAGTACTGACCAACGCCCAACACCACCCACTGATCTACCAAGCGCGCTTCGGCAGATGCAGCTCCTTGAGAGGAAGCTCGCACAGGCTCATAGGGACATGGCAGAATACCGCTCACTCGTTGGTCAACAGTTTGACGCAGGGCGTTTTGCAGAGATTATCAATGAACCGAGTACTTCATCAGCAGGACCATCACCACGAGACGACGACACCCATTATTTCTCCAGTTACTGTGAAAATGGTGCGTAATTTTTCAGGGGTTAACATTTTAATATCTCATATATTGTGAAAAGACATCCATGCTGTTATGATCCAGGACAAAGTTCGCACTTCCACTTACGCGTCGTTCATTCTCACAAACCCCATCCTATTTCGCGATGCTGTCGTACTCGATGTCGGATGCGGTACCGGGATACTCTCCCTCTTCGCCGCCAAGTCAGGGGCAAAGCACGTTTACGCAGTCGATGCAAGCGACATCGCAGAGAAGGCTGAGCAGATCGTCAAAGAAAATGGGCTAGAAAATGTCATCACGTAAGACCATCTGCTAGTTCTCCCTGTCCGCTCTCCATGATTTCTCACGCAAGCGCAGCGTCATTCGTGGAAAAGTTGAAGAGATCTCCCTCCCGGATGATGTCGAGCACGTCGATATCATCATCTCCGAATGGATGGGTTACGCATTGCTGTACGAATCCATGCTCGACTCTGTGCTGCAAGCGCGCGACAGATTCTTGAAACCAGAGAGAGGCGTGATGGCCCCGAGCCAGTGTAGGATCATGTTCGGGCTCTGTGAAGGTAGCGAAATCTTGAAGGAACGCGTAGGATTCTGGAGTGATGTTTACGGCGTGTATTGTTCTATTTCAACGTATCGCGTGATTCTCAAAATACGTTGCAGGTTTCGATTTGTCGATCATGGCAAACAATGTTTATGAGGATGCCATCGTCGACGTCGTCGGGCCAGAATCAATGGCGAGCGAACCTTATCTCCTCAAGGACCTCCACCTAAAAGACGTCACAACCCGCCAACTTGACTTCACTTCTCAATTCACTCTTGTCTCAACTACCCCAAAACGCACCAAAATTCACGCGTTTGTATTGTACTTTGACACGTTCTTCACGACGACGGGCGAACCAGTCCCACCTGAAGTGCCCGTCAAGGTGACAAAGGAGGGTGATGTGACACTTGCTGAGGTGTGGCCTGTGGGCGGGAAAGCACCCCCGCAACGTCGTGCAAGCACGGGTCCTGGTCTCAAGCAAAAGGAGGATAAGAGAGTGACGAGCTTCAGCACAGGGCCTTGTAGCCAGCCAACGCACTGGAAGCAAACAATCTTCCTATTAAGAGATCCGATCCATGCAGAAGACGGTAAGTTGCACATCTCCATTTTGAATCTAGATAGCTCAGGCTCAATCAATACAGGCACCATTGTGACAGGGTCGTTCTACTGCAAGAAAAGCGCTACTAACTCCCGCGAACTTGATGTGGAAATCCATTATTCTGTGAGACAGAATGCTGAGACAACGGCAGTTGGAGAGACTGTCGTTCAGATATATAAAGTGCGATGATATTCGTTGCTTGGTGTAAAATATCGTATACATGTTACTGTCCATTATAGCCCCAAGTTCGTTGCTGACTATGATAGCACATCTTAGTATATATCACCTTCGAGTTCGACATTGTGCCCAACCAGACTCTACAGAGATGCGATAAATGATAAACGATTTTGAATTGGAACTTACATCGAGGAATTATTATGTAAGACCTTACGCCTCTGTTCTCTAATGAGTTACATCAGTAACGTAGTCAGCCAATAAAAGATCGTTTATCGTTTATCTAATTGTCCGAGCTTAGGCCCGTCTCGAGGACAGCGAGGATAAACCCAAATTAAAATAGGGACTCGGCCGCGAGAGTGGTGGGACCCCATGGATTCGGGAGACAAACAGCCCTAACACAGATTAAAGCTTCAGGTGGCTGTGATTCATTTATGCATTAAGTACCGGCTCCATCTCACGCGGTTTCATTTTCTGCACCTTCACTTTATTGCAAACGTACTAGTGTCTGTTAACTAAAACGCGTCAACCATGATGGTGTCAAAGCTACAAGCTTACAGCAATACCCACCCGAGTCATAGACGAGACTGCCCCCTTTTCCTCACGACGAACTCGCGGTTGCGTTATGGCGCGCTTATAGTTGGACTTGTGGTGGTAGGACCCTAATAGTCTGAGCACTGTGATGTTCTGCAGTGTTGTTTGGAATTTCTAAGTCCTTGAGATTGCATACCGAGCTTTAACGAACGGTTACTTCACAGGTTTCTGGAGGAAGGTATGGCCTATGGTCTTTACTCATCATGAGCGGTCGACTGTTGTGAGCGAAGTGGGGGTGCAAGAAGTACTGGGTGGGAGAATGAAGAGGACCTTTGATGTCTTTGCCGAGTCTTTCTCGTCTTTTGGAGCTGACCCCATTTAGTTAGACTGGGATAGCACTGAGCGAGACAGGCATCATGGCATGGTGCAGCACCTGCAAGGCGAGGACGGTAAGCGAGAAATAATTGTTCGCATTCCATTGATCCACACGCTCACACAACATAGCATACCAAGAATACCTGACACTACCCATACGGTACGAGCACGTTCACCTTGTTATCGTTCCGAATTTCGGAACGTTCTCGGTTCCCTCAAACGACTTCAAACAAAGTCCGGGCAACCCTCACATCATCCACAACAAAAAGACCCCAGACTCTGCTCAACATCGTGGCTTCAGCTTAATGTCGCAGCCATCATATATAATAGCTTTACCAGGATCGATTCTGTACCACCCACCCTACTTCTATGATGTCTCGTGTGCCTGTGAACTTTCTACGCCACACCGCTATTATCAGTAGCCAGGTTATTATCCTGGCGTTTGGGTACGGATTTCTTGGTGCAGTCCTCTATTATGATTACCTTTCTCCACCTGATCAAGTCGGCAACTTATGGAGGCATCACCCCCAAGAGTTGACGATGGTGGTCACATTGATAGCAACTGTGCTTTCAGTCACTACTGCTACGTTTGTATACCCTTTTACTCTCTAGCTTTCTATTCACAATAAGATGAACATTTCCCTAGTCTTTTCACCATTTCAATCAAGGAGGCATTGAGACATCGGATGTCACGGCCCATCTCTCTCGTTGAGCTAAGTGCCGGTGTCGCTTTGGCGAAGGGCTCGATCATATTGAGACCTGAGTACTTGCGACTGACCACCCTGACGCTGTTTGTCTTTGGTGTGTCAAGACTCTTGACAGCTGGGTAATTCCTCACTGAAAGCATCTTACTCTTAACTGTCTTGTCTAATTTAAGTGCGGATATAGGTGGACAACTCTCCTGACGCCAACCTACTTTTTATGGCCAATTCAAATGCGAGGATCCGAACTTGACATCACTGGAACCGCATTTTCCACCTTGCTCATCGAAGAACTTCAAAACCAGGGTTTTTCTGTTGGTGCGTATCTCTACTTTTTTCAGTATTTCGTCCGTTTCTTCTAAACGAACAAACCAAGTCCAGGACAATGCTTTCGAGATTATCGACATCGGCGGAATGCTAAGTGGAGTCTCTGCTGCAGGATACACCTATGGTCTTCCTGGGACATTTGACTTCAATGGCGCAAAATATGACGTATCTACTCGTAAGTTGGGATTCTCAGGTCATTTGAAGCTGTTTTGCGATGTCATGTTGTGTTCCTAGAGGGGATTGTGCCCACCATCGAGGATTATTCCGGCTCGGATGGAGTTCCGGGTCCCAGCAGTACTCGTCTCGGGTTTTCTGTTGGAAACGTCACAGTCAACACAGGACCGCTACAGGGAGAACATACCAGCTTGCATATTCCTCAAGGCTTCAGCAGAAACTATTCCATGTTGCAGCAGGGATTGACAGCCAATGTTAGTTGCCGGGCCATTGGCTCTAATCAAACGCAGTATGGTTGGAACACGAACAACTCCTACGTTATCTATGCCAACGCAGCTGCTCCGAATAACTCGATCACTGGTCTTCGCTTGTGGGATATAATTGCAAACTGCGGTGCCAGTGAGTTTCGATCGCATATATCTTACCTCAAATTTACCGTCAGCTTCTAGATACGTCCACGACGCAGGACTATGTGACCAGGGTGGATGCAAGCGAAAACGCGAGTTTGTTAGGGAGTGGCTTTCTTCCTTCCGTTGTGTGCCCAGGGCCTACGAATTTGAATCAGACTTATACAAGCTTCAGTGAGCCATGCATTTGTGATCGTTGTAGTCATTGACCGATCTCATTCTTATAGCAATTCTTTCACAAGGATTTTACAAGTATAGGTTCCTTGACGCAACTGTATGCGAAGTAATCCCACTGTTGACCACAGTCCGCGCCAAATATTCCAATGACCTAATTTCTTCCGAGGTCGATTCATCCACCCCTTTCCGACCAGAGCATGTTGAGCTACTGTCATTCGTCGCTGGGGTTGCCAAGTTTCAGTCGATTAACTCTCAGGGGCTCACGAGCAGCACGATCGGAGATACTCTGTACTCCATCTATTCCTCAACAACTAACACATCTATCGACGACAATCTTGGAAATCAGGCACAGGTATACAAAGAGCTGGTGAGTTTCATGTTGCAAGATCTTTGCCCACCTTAGATTTATGCCTTTCTTAGGAGGAGTACTGGCGCGGCGTTGTTGAGTTTTCTGCTACAGTGAGGGCTCTTATCCCTTAGGTTCAATCCAAATTAACTTAGCATCGCTTGGCAGTTCCTTCGCTCCGGATTCATGGTTGTCGGTAGCTTCCCCGATGATACCATTCCGGACTACCTCTCCTCTCCGGTCAATGGGACAATGTACATATCAACGATAGGTTGGACTCGGCGATCGGCGACATATCTTCTCGCTATCCTTCCCCTCACCATCATCACCATCCTCACATTTGCCTGCGCTTTGTATAGTATCTTGCAGGCTCGGAAAGAGAATAGTAGCCATAAGACCATCTTTGATGCGTCAAACACCCTTCATCTCATCATGGCATCCGCTGCCGGTAGTCTGGCACTCCAAAATTTCGTCAAGGATGGGATTATTGCCAATGAGGGCGTGAAGGTGCAGCTCCAGGACAATGGTACACAGAAGATGTTCGTGGAAGTTGATCAAAAGAAGCTCGTATGATTTTGGGTACCATTGTGCTATAGCAGTTGTCTTTTCGTATACCCATTCTTACTTTGTCTGCGGCTGTCGCCTGTTGATTCTGATGATTCTATCAACCTTTCTAACTACGCACATTTACTTGTTAATAATGTTGTCGAGTACTTAATTTACTACCCATTCTACCTTTTTCCCGGCAAATAGACATGTGATGTTTGGATGGGACCAGACGTTTTGGGAAGTCGCACGAATACTTTCCCAGGCTCGCTAGATGTCCCAGAACCGCGGTTGCCTACTAGCTTGGTACAGCCTAGCGTGGCTTGAGCGTGGCGTACTTCTTTTTCTGTCTCAACGCCAGACAGCTCATTGGGGGGTTATTATCCCACTAGTTTTTTTCACGCGCTACAAGAGAGCCTGAGCAAGCGTAGCAGGCAAGAGTCTCGCACCATCCTGAGCATGTCCAAGCGGCTCCGTACTGGGGTATCATAACCAATTGTGTTACGACATGCGGCCTCGTTGTAAGTTTAGTTCGGTCAAAAAGAAATCTTGAAACTTGCCAAACGCCCGAGCAGCTGTAACAAAATGTTAGTGAACGTACCTGGATTCTGGTGCAATGAAACTCACCCTTCCGCAGAGTTGGTTTTGGATATAACACATGTTCACAGGCTCCAGAACCATTGACCACACTGCCGTGGTCCACCGAAGGGCCTAGCTTGAGCTTGAAGCTTCAGAGGTCCTACTTGGCGGTTTCAAACCTCTCCCGGAATGTGCTAGTCTCCCATATGGTTTCTTCCTGTTTCTAAGATGCACAGGGACAATCACGGTCCAATCCCCGAGCTACCTGGTAACATATTCAGACTCATATCAGCGCAGACGGTCAAGGTACGAGTTACACAGTGCCAACCCCAATCTCTATATTGAGTCAAGGTTCCGGGTCGACTCCAGCAACCAGTACTAGTGTCTGCCAAGATTCTCGCGTCCTACATATAGCCCCCACACCCACCGAATACTGAGTACGAAGCACTCACTACGCGATGTCCAAACTGCCGATCTTCAGGGCCTCACACTCTGGTCCTCTGCCACGTATATGACTTCAAATCTATCACTTAGACTTGACTACTCCGACCTGCCAGCACGCACACCGGAGAACATGGACTTCGCACAGATCATGGAAACCACTACAAGATCTGACAAACCTTTGTAGATGAAGGAAGATAGTGCCTGCTAATAGGAATGAAGTGCCCTTTCAATTTTCAGACTGAGCCTGGACATTCGATCTTCACGCGTGAAGATGTCAAAAGAAGCATTATCGCACTCAAAACACGCCTCCAGATTCGCATGAGGATCTACTTATGGTCCAAGGAAGCATACGTATGTGGTGTTACTGCGCGCAACTTTCTGAATTGATATCTCAACAACGCGATAGACGCGGTTGTCAAGCGATACTTCCAGTGCGAATGCTTTGTCGGAACGATAATCACTGTCCGATGTCTACGGTTGTTTGAACCTAATTCACTAGACTGATGTTCGCCCTTATAACTTTAAGTGTCATAATGATTGTGTTGGCAGGGCTTCGAAGGTGTTGTACTAGATTCACTTCGAGAACAAATGATCATGCCGTACGCACAATTTGGCCGCATTAGCGCCCAGAGCGAGTATAAGAATAAAGGCTCGAGCCCACAACTCTCTAGCACTTCACAATGTCGAACCATCAAGCGCTTGTCGAAGCGCTCTTGATGAAATCAATTCTTGGCCAAGAGCTCGTGGATACAAAGTTCCACATATTCTCAGGCCGCTCAGCACATCTACGTAAAGTCATCCGACTCCAAGACTTGTCCGCCAACGACATTGTCCTGACAGCACGTTCCGTGTTTTTTGCCGAACGTAAGTTTTTTTTTCTCATGAAGGTGGTGAGTTTGCTCATTGAAGTTGACAAGTATTGTCCAGGACGGGATCACCTGACGCCACATTTGTTGACTTCGATGGTGGCTCAGAATTCGAAGATGGAATAGCACTTGATGACTACGGATACACATCTGACAGCGATCTTGAAGATGAAGAAGAGGAAAAAGCTAGTCAGACGCCTCCCGGCGACGTGAGTTCCGTCCTCAAGGGTAAGTGATTCAAACCGATATCAAAAATATAAATCTTCATACCTTTGCAAGGAAACATCAGTGAATCAGATGAATCAGATGAAGACGACGACGACTTACTGGTTGTGGCAGACACTAGGTCCGAAAGCGATGCCTTGACCAGCCCACCACAAGCAGAAACGCCTATCGCTCCTATTCCAGTTCAACATAAACCACAAACTGTCAACTACCGGAACATACTCGTGCGAGACACGGCCTTCAGGACGTAAGTTACATGTTATCACAATTGTGGCGGGCATTTGATTTCGTATATACAGATTGAAAGCGCTCTTGCTGTATCTGTATACGGACAAAATTTCCTTTTCCCCACTCAAGTCCCAGGGACTGCCCAGAACTGATGTGGAGACCCCAAACCCTAGCACTTCGTGGCCTTGCTCACCGAAGTCGATGTATTGTTTAGCCTCCAAGGTTCGAGTAAATTTACCTGGTACTCTCCACACATTCTAATACACAATTGTCAGGTTCGACTCGACAGCCTTCGCGACCAAGCTTTCTATGCAATACGTAGTAGTCTGGATGCGAAAAATATTCTTCACGAGCTTTCTTCATCATTTACATCCAAGTCGGTTTTTTTTATCATGGCATAGCGCAGTGTTAACCAGCTTCGCGGTATCAGGTATCCCGCAATCCTGCAAATGAATGTAGAAATCCTACTCCAGCATATCGCATCTGTTCCTGTCATCCAAAATATCCCTGCGTTGCTCGGGAGGATCACCGACTCACAACTGCCCCATGGAGCAGACATTATCATTAGTTTGTACCAGAAATTTCTGCTGCAGCACCATCCTCAGGCGCTTGCGCTTGCTCAGGCGCCGATTGCTCAGGCGCCGATTGAGCCTCAGAAGATTACTAGTGGCCCGAAAAAGAAAGTTAAGAAGGGCACAAAATTGCGCCTGGTGTAAATCGCATTGTATGTATTATGTCTATGAACATCGTTGTCGATCTTGTTGTCGCAATAGATTGCTTTCTTCCTTCCGTTATGTGCCCGGGGCCTACGAATTTGAATCAGACTTATACAGGCTTCAGTGAGCCATTGAAATATGCTGTGATCATTGTAGTCATTGACTGATCTCATTCCTATAGCGATTCTTTCACGAGGGTTTTACAAGTATAGGTTCCTTGACGCAAGTGTATGCGAAGTAACCCCAAGTACTGTTGACCACACAATCCGCGCCAAATATTCCAATGACCCCATTTCTTCCGAGGTCAATTCATCCACTCCTTTCCGACCAGAGCATGTTCATAAGACCATCTTCGATGCGTCAAATACCCTTCATCTCATTATGGCATCCGCTGCCGGGAGTCTGGTTCTCCAAGGATGGGACTATTGCCAACAAGGGCGTAAAGGTGGGGCTACAGGACAATGGTACAATGAAGATGTTCGTGGAAAAGAAGCTCGTGTGATTTTGGGTACCATTGTGCTATGGCAGTTGTTTCTTCTTACTCGTATCCCCATTTTTACTCCTGTCTGATTCTAACGGCTTCGCTGTCGCCTATTGATTTTGATATGGTTCTATCAAACTTCCTAACTACGCACATTTAACTGTTAGTAATGTTATTCTACAGTCACTCGACATCTTGCTACCTATTCTACCTTTTTCCCCATGTGATGTCGATGTATTTGGATGAGGTCTGTCTTAGCCAGACGTTTCAACTTTTGGGACATCGTTGCACAAATACTTTCCCAGGCATGGCGCGGTTTGCCGAAGGAAGCTGTGGCTGTACTTCTTTCTGGATGCAGCAAGTTAGAGTCACGTGCGCGTGTTGATGGGAACGCGTCGTCAGTCGGTCCACAACCGCCCATCAGTCCACATCAGATTGATCGATGGCCTTTGCGCCACATTGGTCAGCCAGATATAAGGGAAGAGGAAGCGGTCGCTCTTTCTTGTTTTCTTAGTTTTCTCCACTTCACCAGTCCCATCAGCGTAGCAACAATACCTAGCGTCATGTCCCCTGCTGGCGAGGCAGACACATCGTTTACTCCACCTCGCGCCAATGCATCAGCTCATAGTGCTAGCAAAATAGAATCCACTCCAAACAGCCGTGGGGCTGCCGTGGTGAGCGAGAACATCGGCCTGGTCGGTGTCAGGTGCGCACCTTTCTTATTTGTGTTAAGTAGCACCTAACATTCCATCAAGGGTCAAGGAAATCCGTCCATGGATTCAGCGTGACATCGAGCAGGCTAAGCAGTGCAAGGCAGATGCAATGCTACAAGCCCTCCTGCAGCGGGCTTCTTGCGCTCCGGAAACTAAACAGCCTGAGCTCCTGCAAAAGTGCCTAAAGGCAGTTCTTCCGGTTTGCAATGGACAGGTCTCCGCTGGAGGCATATACTCTTCGGGCATCGAGACAGCCCTGAAAAATTAGTGAGTGTCCCGTCGCTGATCGGACGTTTTCCTGCTCACAATGTTTGCAAGCGTTCGTCCAGGAGCAGAAAACAGCTTCTACGGCCCTTTTATAGAAGCCACCAACATCGCGCTCGCTTGTCTTGAGGAGATCAAGGTTGACGGGATGCGGGCTCCTGTCCCCGCTGTAGACATGATCTGTCAGCAGAACGACATGCCCATGTATCAGAACCACCAATTCGTGAAATCAACTCGGAAGCCCGACTGCGTCATTCTTCCTTTGAAGAGCGCATGCGCTCCTTTCGAGGATGAGAAGGGCGGCAAACAGGGCAAACAGAAGCGCAAGGCTCACATGGTGAAGAATGCAATGTCCAAGCCGCCAGCGTCCGAGTCACTCCCCTGGAAAGATATTCTAGCTTGCATCGAGTTCAAGAGAAAGACGGCAGGGAGGAAGCAAGGGATTAAACCGCTGCCGCCCTCTTCGTATCATGTGAAAGACCATGTTCCTACCAAACCAGAGTATTTGCCGGTGGATCATCTTAAGGCTGAAGATCCGGCGCCAGGTCCTACGCAGACCTCAGCAACCCAAGCGCCCGACACTGCACGTAAGTGATTGTATTATTGATTACAAGATCAAACTAAATCGACCGAGCAGCAGTTCTATCTTCTGGCCTGAATGCTGCCCAGTCTTCCCAGGGCGGGTCTAGCTCCAAGCGCAAGGCCACGGACACTTTGCAATCCGCCGCGAAAAAACCCAAGGTCGTTCCCGATGAGCCTGATGTGACTGTCCAGACAGGTCTGTATGCTGCTGAAATGTTTGCGGCCAATCTTGCCGTCAGTTATCTAATTAATCTTATCGTCGTCGGTGGGTTCGCTCGGCTGTCGAGATCAGTCTCGTTCTTACCACAGCTTTTTTAGACGATGTTGTCTGGGTCTGGTATTATGATCGCCAGGGCACTATCCAAAGCTCGGGCATCAACTTCATCCAAGATCTCCCGCGATTCATGGTGCTATTGTACGCTTTACAACGCTTTGAGCTCCACGATTGGGGCCGAAACAAGGACTTCCTGCCAGTTCAAGTTGAGGGGAAACAATGCTACGAATTCAAAATCAAGGATGAAACGCTTGGGGAGGTTGATCTGCTGCTTCACACCAGCCACGACGATAGAGTGACGCATTACGGACTACAAGGCCGAGCTACCAATGTGATGCCTGTCACTAGCGAAGCGCTTGCGAAGAAATACGACAACCTCCCGGATGGGATGGTGGCCAAGGTCTTTTGGGGAGAGGCGAATCGCACTAGCGAGCCGGAAATTCTGAAAAGAGTCGAGGAGATCGCTGAGGCGCACGATACCGTAAAAAACCATATTCCCGAACTGCTCTGGCACCACACGTTCACAAATCCCACATCCGCCATCCGAGAAGCTCTCGGGGTTCCGGAACCTACCACGGGCAGTCGCGTGCTCTACATTCTCGTATTCCGCAAACTTCACCCCATCACGAAGCTTCACGGCAAAGAACTTTTCAGCGTCTGGCAGCAGTGTATCATATGTATGTGTTTAATTGAATTAATGTTGCTCTTCGTTGACATAGTGTGCAGGCCACCTCACTCTATGGAAAGAAGGGGTCTATCATCGAGATATCAGTCCTGGAAACTTGATGTGGTACAAGAAAAATGGCAAACTGATCGGTGTCTTAAACGATTACGATCTATCCTCGTTGGCGAATGTAGTTGGCCCTCAGGGCAACGAGCGTACGGGCACGGTGCCATTCATGGCACTCGATCTCCTGACTGAAAAGGCTCAACGAGGCGAAGTCAAACACTTATATCGCCACGATCTGGAGTCTTTTATGTGGGTTTTTATCTGGATTTGCTTTCGTTATAGGGAGGGAGTCCTTCTACCAGCGGAAACGCGCCCCTTGGATCAATGGGCGAGATTAGACGCTGTGATGTGCGGGACGATGAAATATTATTTCGTGGGCCACCCACCAGACCGCCCCTCGCACATAGACCCGCGTATATGGCGTTTCCTTGTGCAGTGTGTCATTGTGCTCAAAAGAGATGCCGACCATCGAATTGGTCTCCGCCTCGAGAAGCTAATAACGATGACACCGGACAACGATGAGGAACTAGAAGATATCGATGGTTCTTTACGCATGTTTACAAACACGACGGGCTGGGTTGACCTCTCTGAGCTCAGCAACCCTTTACAGTGATTTCTGTACTTCTACATATACAGTTTTCTGCATATCGGTATTTGTAGCTTTCAGTTATGTGTGCTCATCTGTCAAAATATATGACTGTGCAGAGTGATTTTGCTAGCCTTCAGCCACGCTAACTTGCCCTGGCTGACCTGTCTGCCTTGTCGTTCAGCGCTCAGCATTGTACTCATGTGTCAATCCCACGATGACGCAATCACAAATTTACGTTTCGCCCAACCACTTTAAATGCAGAGATACAACTTGTATCAAGGAATTAGAATTATTAATCAGTGGCTGCAGAATCAAAGTGAATAGAATGTGATGGCGTACAGAAAGAAAGACACGTGCCCCTGGTCGGATGCCAGTAAGCGAGAGATTTAATGTGACCGTGGCCAAGTTATACTTAGTTTGGAATCGGAGTAGTGCGTCGCAACAGCCTGAGTCCGCCAGGCACCTTACATTGATCTCCACGCTCGCGCACCTTAGCACACCAAGAGTACTAGGCATGACTGAATACCTGACACGTAGGCCTAGAGAAGAGTGCTAGTCACAAGCACGTTTCTACTTAATTCAATGGTCCAAATATCCACATTTTGCTGTGGTCACTGCTGGCAATAATCCTGCCTAATCTGAAACATCGACGATCATCTCGACTCCCCCCTTTCTCCCTGACTGATTCTATCTCCACAGTGCTAGAGGACTGTGGGAAAAAATCTCGGTGACCCTTCCCCAAATTCTGCTAGGAGTTTGCGAGAGTTGGAGACAAACTTCATTGACTCACGCCAAAGATGATTCTGGAAATATTTCGATGACTCGGTCATACCGTAACTGGCTAACGGAAGAGATGTCCCTCCGCAGTAGACTTCTTGACCACTTTACCTGCTTCTTACGGCTATGCTAATTGTCCTCACAAGTACTCGAGCTATCTTTCTACTGAAGTTACTGATAAGGTTCTTAGTTCGCGCAGGAACCATCATTGTATAAAGCCTCCCTAATACATCGATGGTGCATACAGTGCTCGATTCTGACGCTCTAGTAGTCGGGTGCTCTGTTCATGTCAGTACGCGTTCTGAATGTTCAAAGATAAGGCGTCAGGAATCGACAAACCTCTACCCGATCCAGCCAGCTTTCAGTCAATCAATTCTCGCAAGTAGCCGCCATCAGTCAGGGCCGCGATATCTGACTGACTGCTCCACATAATTGAGCTCTGTCTGTGTGCCTGTAGTGGGTATTTAAATACCACTCCTACGACACGATGGAACGCCAGGTCATTTTTAATCTCTCGCTACTCTCTGATCTACTTCAACAATGAACCCTATCGAATACCACTATCCTGTGATTGGCCGCAAGGGCACTGGAGGCGTATTTGATCGATTGCCTATCGAGACGCTGGAGAAGGACCATCCTTACCAATTTGCATTGTTCATCCTTGCCTTTGCCGCAATTCAGCAGCGTCCCGACGCTCTCCAAGTCATGGAAGAGCCTGCGGGCACGTTCGTGGAAATTGCGTCGATTCACGGAAGGCCTTTCATTGAATGGGCAGGTGACCGCAACAAGGACACCTCAACTGACTACAGCGCCACTGACAAGAAAGATACCAATCCCGTTCCTGCCAGATTCGGAGGTATTTGGTCCTTTCCATCGCAGCTTTCCGTAGCCTAATAATGCTGCTTGTGACAGGTTATTGCAAGTAAGCTGGTATGCACTCTTTCGCTCTGTCGATTTTGAGACCTTTATTCAGCCATGGTGCCGTTGTTTTTCCTACTTGGCACCGCCCATATGTCATGCTTATTGAGGTATACGAACCCGATGACTGTGACTGGCATGTTGCTCAATTGCTTTGTAGCAATCCATCGGAAACATCGCCGATCAATTGGCCCACGACATCGAAGCTAAAAACCCGGATGAATGTGGAGTGTGGGTCAAGG